GCTTTTATGGTTAACATTTCTGCCACTGCCACTACCACTACCACTGGCTTCTGCTCCTGCCTTCTCTCTTAGTTCTTAGTTCTCATCCTTCTGTTTCTATTGTTTGCACTTCAATTGTGTTAAGTGCAGGCGGCAGCTCTGGTGCTCCGCCACACTGTTTGATGGGATCAACCACGGAAATAAAAGGAAAGCAACTTTTGGAAAGCTCGGGAAATATTTTTTAAGTTAAGAAATGAAAGAATAATGTTTTCTTTGCCAGACTTTTAAGTGGTCAGTGTTTGTGCATATGTATGTATGGAATGTATAAGAGAACTATCCTTTCCTATGAGTCCTTTCTACTAAATCTGTTATGTCCATGCGCATCTTTACAGCGAATTCCCTCAGACAATTTTTGGTATAGCGCTGCATAGGAATTAACTCTATTCTATCCTTTCATATGCATTCAACAGATGTTCACTTTACTTCCTCATTCATTCCGAAAAAATTTGATTTGGGGTTGACGTTTTCCCATTCTACCCATTCTACTCTTCCTCTTACCCCGTGCATCGTGTGAACTTTTAGTAGTAGCCAGTGTGTGGATTTTACGATCAATTTCCGCTGTGGAACAAGCCTATAAAATATAGAGTTCCCCCCCATCCATAAAACTGAAGAAATAGGAGTCCCGTGTAGGCAGCCACTAAATATGGAACATTAAAAACCATAAATATTAAAACATTAAAAATATCCATAAAAAAAGAACACAACAACAAAAAACAGAGAACCACACAAAGCCATAGGAAAATTACAATGAAAATGCAGTTGTGAGGGGGAAATTAATTTCACAAGCAATAGGCAAAACAGCTGGAAATCAATGAAAAGCAATATGGAAAAGTCTAAACAAAAGGAACGACTTCCAATACGAAGAAAAGCCCACCCACCGTCAGTGGACAGAGGGGAACGGAACCACACACACACACACAATTAGTCAGAAGAGAGTGATGTTGGTGGGGAGAATGAGCAGAGGTGTCTAGGTAGGGGCGTCAAGTAAAATCCATTTCCAATGCCTTATCGGAAAATGCATTTCCATTTACAAGAAGTTTTTCACTCTCCTCTCTGTCCGCGGCAGTGTATTAAAATCAATGAATAAATAAACAAAAATCAAAAACCGAAAATCCCAACTGCCTCTCGCTATCACTTTCTCTCTGTCTCTCTCTCGCGGTGTGTCTCGCTTTTTGACAGCGGCGGTTGCTTTTGTTTCTGAGCAGATCCCCCTGTCTGGAGTTGATTTATATTTACTTTGGATCGGGGGGGCCGCATTGTGTGAACGGCGACAGCTATAAAAGCTTTGGCGGCACACGTCTGTCCGTCCGTATGTCTGTCCGCCCAGCAGGTCGCCACTCTCCTCCGTAACACTGCGGTGGAAGCTGTTTCTTTCTCTGGTTCCTCTGTCTGATCCATGTCCCACTGGCACATGTTCGGGGTGGGTCTCAATATACCTGAATTTTCCCTATTCCGGATAAGTGTCCGGGAATCTGATGTTTGCACTTTGCTTTTTTTCTATACCTTTGATCATCTTACACTCTCAGCCAATGTATCCTTAGTTCAGTTTCTACCATTATCCATCTCTAGGAGTTTCTTTATTCCATACTTCATTTTAGATCGCATCAAAGCACGGGTTCATTCAGTTTCTCTTATGCATCTTTAATTATTAAATCCTCTCCATCTACATATGTACACATGTATCTCTACCCCTTTTAAGAACATTCATAGCCACATTCATTGCTTAATTAGCAAACATTTTTTGGGGTCGCGTTCCATAAATGAACATAATTGAAAATGTCAACAGTTGTCCCTTTCGGCTTACGCATAATTACAGCACCAACATATGCTTTCCCCCGTTTGGATGTCATGTTCGTCACTTCACTTCATAAAAGTGTTAATTAGTCGAAGCCCGCAAAAATTGCATCCATCTATTCCAAATGCATTTCATGACAAATGTCAAATGTCAAAAATCGAAATTACTAAATTATGAAATGACATCCCCTACATATCGTAATCTACCCGGCCCTATCCACCCACCCATCTATCCGTATTCGATGTTAATTAAGTTTTTGGATTGTATACAGATGTTTCTAATGTTTTGTGTCGATGTTATCGCATGGCGGATGTGTAGGGGTGTGGTGGAGTAGAATCAAATTGCCAGAGAAATTCTATATTTATGTCCAGATTTTTTGTGTCAATAAATGTTTAATTGATTTCCCGTTTGACAGATGATATTTTGGTCAAAGACTCTTGATTGATGGATGGCCTGTTATGATGGCTATGGGGAGATTGTATTAATTTGGATTATGAAGCTAAGAAGAAGAAATAACAATTAAAATGTCAACAGAAAGAGGGAGAAGGTATAGTTCTATGAAACTAAAGGAGTTTGTTAAGTATTCCCCATATTGTACTGACAAAAATTTAAAGAGTCAGTAATGAAGCGAAGATTGCGTGGGGAAGCTCAGCTAAAATAAGAAATGAAAAATTATAATTCGTATCATTTTGATCACTCAGAATATTCAAGAATATTCAGAAGTACTGTATTTCTAACATTTCCCTGCCATTTCCTGGCATTTCCCAACACGTAGAACCCATCAAACATCAAAAACTTCAAAAAGCCAAACAAAACAAAAGAAGAAAATTAATAACCAAAGCTAAAAGGCAAAAAGTCATCATGTGCTACGCCCATTTAAATACAAACAATTGTGGAACTATAATCATACATCAGCAGTACGGAACATCCCCCACGAAACCACCCACTTGCTCTCTCAGCCCCACCACTTCGCGGACGTCAATCTCTGCCCGAATGAGAGAGCACTTGTCATTGAAAACATTTGTTAAAATTCCCATGGGACCACGAAGAAGAGAGAGAAGACAGCGAAAATAGCCAAATATGACATTGGGGGGTGGGTAGTGAGGGAGAGCGGTGGTCAGCATCAGCAGGGGGCATATCCCTCATCTGCAATAGTCATTCATACTCTCTCACTCATTCGCATACAAAAACAAATAAAAACCCATTAAGCAAAAACCAACAACAGCAAAAACCACGGGAGGGGTTAATATCGTAGTTCGAAGAGGGGGGAGCACAGAGAATGCAAGAAAGTAGCGGCAAGCAATTAACAACTACAACGACAAACAAAACGAGGGAGAGGGAGATGGAGAGTGAAGAGGCTTTGGCTACTGCTGAGTCGATGTGTGCGGGCAGCCACAACACGAAAGATAAGAGCCAGCCACAAGCAATGAGGAAGAGGGAGATCAGTGCGCAAGCAAAGAAGAGGGATAGAGGGATAGTGCAGCAGTGATCGAGCGGGGTGGCAGAGTATGGAGTGAGAAAGTGCATTAGATAAGCAAAACTCAGCTGGAAGCCGATCCGACCGAGAAATCGAGTTGAGTCCCAGCTGTGTTTGCTCTCGTGCAGCCACTCTCTCTCTCTCTCTCTCTCCCTCTCTCTCGCCTAAAACAGAAGCAGTAGCAGCGCAGCTATAAATAAACATCCATCCCCCCCATAGCCCCTTTCCATGTCGTTCACTCTGTCCAGAGCAGAGTGCAGTTAATAATTCGTGTGAAATATTTGCTTACTTGCACACACACACACACACGATAAGAAGAAAGAAGAGAGAGAAATAAAATCAAAGTTGCGGGCGTCGGCTGATGAGGAGAAGTGCAGATTAAAGAATAACAAAAGTCAGTAGCGGGTGTCTGGCGGGGTGGTCTCTGGGGTGCGTGGAAATATCATACAGATGTGGGCAATGTCGGAAATGTTTCCTGTCAACTTGTTGGAATCAGAGTTGGGGCTTAGTCCCTCTCTCGCCCTCTCTCGGTACGCCTCTGGCGGTGCTATCGGTACTAATCACACGACTTGCAGCAGTTGTCGCCCATTTCCATGACCATTCCCGCTCCCATTCCAACGCATACCCATGCCCACGCTCTCCGCCCTCATTACCATACCCATCATTCACTGTGGGTCTCGTCTCTTGGTTACCCAGGGGTTTGTTGCATTCGCAGAATCTCAGTCCGTCACATGCTCGTAAAATCAACAAAATGCAGGGTGATGTTGTGACACTTGCTGTGACAACAACAGTACAATGACAACAACGAACCCAAATAACAACAACAACAACACTCAGAGTTGCATTTAGCAAAATGTTTAATGAGTGACAGAGCGACAGAATGACTGACAGACAAAGCTGTGGAGAAAGAGAGAGAGAGAGGGGGAGAGAGAACGGCTGAGAGAAATTTTGCATCCACGGTCGGTTTTTGGGCTTAAGAAGCATCCATGGACTGGCGGAGGGGACGGTGACTGCAGCTCTGAGAGGGTGGTGAGGGCCACCCACAACTTCCACGCTCCCTCCCGCTGCTGTCAAAACCAAAAACTGGAGTTGCCTTTGTATTTTTACGGGATATATGTATGCACAGTATGTACAGACATGTTCCTGGCCAGAGGGGGAAGGCTTTAGAAAGGTTTAGGACGAGGAGACAGGGCGGCTTTAGAAAGGGGTTTTTTGGCGTGAAGAAGCTTTAGGCGACGAGTGAGTGAGAGAGAGAAAGAGAGAGTGGTTAAGGGGAGTTGTTCTGTGCTGCTTCTGATGATGATGTTGATGATGATGCCGTGGGGCAAAGTGTCCATTATGTTGATTTGAAAAATAAAAGCAACGGATTTGATGGCTTCCCCCAAAGATGCAGGGGCGAGGTGGTGACTGCAAACGAGGTGGGGGGGTTCACACAGAAAGGGGGTGTGGTGTAATGAGTAAAATATAGTTGATTGTAAGACAGTTATCAGTTATGTACATGGTGACACTTCTTGTGGTTGCTGTGGAGCCTCTGCCGTTGTTTTATTTAGAAAAGATTTTATTTTAGAAGAGATTTGTCAAAGGAACTCGTAAGAGATTGGGGGACGGTGGGAGTATAATGAAATATTTAGCTTAAAGCGGAACTTTTCATTCAACAATTGCTCATTGACTCTTTTGTCAGAAAAGCTAAAAAGAAAAATAATTAAATAATAATAATCCACAACCAAACACCAGGACACGGACATAAAAAGCGAAGGTACCCTCCACATCGCCCACCCGCCGAATTCGACTTTGAAATGTACGAACCCTTGAACGTCAAAGCCACGCCAGAATCCGCACTGATCAGGGCGAATCGGAGGTCTGGCCACAGCAGTCCATTGGGCCATGGAACCGTGGGTACCGCGCACAATCCGTTCATACCGTCTAGACGTTCCTCTTATCAACGGAACGGAATGGAGCAACTGGACCAGCTCATAGCGAAGCTCACGCAGATGGCGGATAGTGCGGGCGGTGTCCAGCTGTCGGCCATGGACCTCGAGGCCCTGTGTCTGAGAGCCCGCGGAGTGCTGCTCCAGGAGCCGGCGCTGCTGGAGATCCAAGCACCCGTGAACGTCCTGGGTGACATTCACGGACAGTATGGTAACCTGCTGAAGTACTTGGCGGCTGGTGGATATCCGCCAGAGGGACGATACCTGTTGCTGGGCGACTACGTGGACCGCGGCAGGAACTCGATCGAGACGCTCACACTGTTGCTGGCCCTGAAGGTGCGCTACCCGAGTCACTTCTTCCTCCTCCGAGGCAACCACGAGTCCGCCAGCATAAACCGCGTATACGGCTTCTTCGATGAGTGCAAGCGACGCTTCACGGTCAAGATGTGGCGCACCTTCGTCGACTGCTACAACTGTCTGCCCATCGCGGCGGTGATCGAGAAAAGCATATTCTGCTGCCATGGCGGCCTCAGTCCCGACCTCTTCAGCCTCGACCAGATCCGCACCATAGTGCGCCCCTGCGAAATCCCCGAGTCGGGTATGCTGTGCGACCTGCTCTGGTCCGATCCGGACTTTGCCAACTACGGTTGGCATCCGAACGAGCGCGGTGTGAGCCACACCTTCGGCGCAGATGTGGTGACCGCCTTTATGCTGCGCTTCCACTTGACCCTCATTTGTCGCGGCCATCAGGTCGTCGAGGATGGCTACGAGTTCTTTGCCAAGCGGCAGCTGATAACCATCTTCTCGGCCCCAAACTACTGCGGGGAGTTTGACAATGCGGGGGCCATGATGTCAATCGATAAGGATCTGCTATGCACATTTCGCATCCAAAAGCCGATACCCATCCGACGAATGATTTTTCCCGTGGATAAATAATTCTCCTTAACACATTTCGAAGAATTTGTTATTCGAAGGGAGTTACGTTACGGTTGAAATTGGGCAAATAGACCACATGATGAATCAGTGAATGTAAAAAGAGATGTCTTATATAAATAAAACTCTTTAATTTGACCACAATCACAATTATACAATTAGTTATATAATTAATGAAAATATTCGAAGCTCAAATAAATGCAGAAAAAAAAAACACTTTAAAAGTGTGAGAATATAATATATGCATTTTAATTTGATAAATTACAATCGTTAATTTCAATCTAGGAAAGCCATAAAGGCAAATTAAATTACGTCCAAGTTGGCAAAGAAATTTTAGCCCAGAATCGCTCTCACAACAAACCCCTCTGCCGCACAACCAAATGGTAATGACAGGGGAAACAAAAGTAAAACAAAAAAAAAACCCAGCTAAAATAATTACTAAAATGCATTACAGCACGCACACTCTTGCACATTGGAGAGAGTGAAAGATAGGGTCAAAGACAATAAGAGAGAACGAGAGAGAGACATGCAAATTGGATAGCAAAAAAAAAGTATAAATTAAATGACACTGCAATTTGCAGAGGGAATAAATTAATGGCAATCCATTTCGGTAAATTGGAATGATGCAAAATGGCCATTAATGCTAATTTATGTGGCAAGTAGTGTGGCGTGGTTCAGCAATGAAGGGGGGCTATATGATGGTGGCGAGCCCCCATAGATAAAGTCAAGGACCTTGAACTGTAAAATAAGAGTGACAGAGTGGAAGGGAACCTCAGGTAGGGATTTAAGCCCCTCCATCAAAGTGAGGGATTTTCACCGATGTTATTTACTGAGGTGCTCAAAAAGTAGCCACTTCCTCTTTATTTTATAATCATACCATGCTGCGGCTACATTCTTAAACAATATTTCTTTTAAAAAATGTCTTTAAAAAATCCAATTTAATAATCTATGCAAAAAGCTGGCGAAACTTTTGCCATAAAGTTGCCCAAAAGTTTGACTCTGCCACAAGACATGACGACAACAAGGCGGAGAGTTATCCACGCCTTCAGGAGTGTTGACTAATGGCAACACACACAGGCACAAAGTTACACACACACACACATATGTATGTACATGTATCTAAAGGATATCATTGTCCAGGCAGTGTCCCTGGATAACAGCAAAAACAAACCAGAATAAACATATGTGTGGCTGAAAGGAGACCAGAGACCGGCATTAACCCCACAATGGGCGCATACATTTTGCAGCAGCATGTCCTGTCCGAAAAGGAGTACAGGAAGCATACAGGACGAGGGCAGATGCATAGAGATAGATAGAGAAGCGAAGCGAAGACAGGGACAAGCATAAGCTGCAATATCCACAAAACTAATCTGAAGTCAGACAGGGACAGAGACAGAGAGAGAGAGCTATAGAGATAGATGGAGACAGAGTGAGGAAGAGAGACAAGGATTTACATATTAAGCCATTTTTAATTTACGACTTGCCAAAAAGCTCCAAGTCGAAGACTTTCCCTTTCGTCCATCTCCCCCTCTTGCAGCATTCTGTCACCAAAAAGTCCAACCCCTACCCCAACACCAACACCCTTCCTCCTGCCTCATCGCCTGACTAAACAGTAGATAACAAACTTAAGAGAGTGAGGAGGAGAGTGGGGATGGTGATGAGTAGGAGGAGAGAGTTGCGAAGACAGAGACGAACATAGATGGATGATAAAGGCACCACAGTCACAGGCAAAAAAGGATAACGCCATGTCCTGGAAATGTATCCTTACGCTAAAGCCACATAACGGCAACCATTCCCACCCACACTCACCCACTTTCACCCCCTCACACACACACCCACACACACGCACAGCAAAAGAGAGGGAGGGGCAGCGCAACAATGACGGTAATAAAATAAAAGTAAATCCATGCTTTGGTTTTTTTTCTTTTCCACTCCTTTTTGCCGCTCTCATCCGCTCTTGCTCCCCTCCTTCATTCCCTTCTCCTGGTCCCTGCTACCTCCACTCTTCGTTGTTGTGGCACTGGCATCTGTCAAACTTTGACATTGACGTACTCTGTGACGCAACTTGTTTAGGGGTTTAGAGATGTTTTCCATGTCGAGAGTTCTTCATGCTCCTCCGGTACTGTTTTCAAGCATGGCAGTGAAGGATGGAGGCAAGTGAAATGGAAAGTAGAACGCAAAAAACAATCTTCAGTGATGCATTCTATAGGCATTGCTGCACTTCTGATATGACTGACATTTTCAAAGCTTACATTACACAAAAAAGGATTTAAAATTTCAATGAATTTGTGTTAGAAGTTCAAAGAAAGGGGGGGACTGTGGCACGGTTTTGATGCAAAAATAATTGATTTGCTTCGAAAAAAGTTCGGGAATGACCGAAAAACTTTACTTAAAGCTATAATTATAATCTCAGATTCTCTCTCTCGTATAAGAAATACACCAATTTCCTTGGGGTCTCTTTTTGCCAGATATAATCCCAACAGGAAAAGCTAATAAAAAAAACCCTATAAAGGATATTTCCCTTAGGGCTATTCTACTTTTATAGAGCTCTCCCCCAACGAATGGGAAACTTTCATTTTCAGAGTTTTTTAGCAACTTTTCCAGCTTACTGGTGGGACAACAGGTGCAAATGAAACCCTTCGAAGGGGAGGTGGTTTCGGACTATAGAAGAGCCATCCATCAATCATGGGGGCTTCAAAAGCCAAATAACCAACCCAAGCATATGCTTGAGCTAGTTACAGTATACCAGAAAACCCACCCTTTGCCCACAAAAGAAAAGCAAGCCCAATCCGTAGCCCAAAAATAAAAAAAAACATCTTCTAACAAGCGGAAGGAAATGTCGGGATGCCAGATGCCTGATGATGACGATGATGATGATGACAATGTTCTTGGTTTCGGTTCTTTAAAGTTTTTCATGGCGGATTGGCATTCAATGGGGATGGGTCGGTGTGGGTGTCAGTCAATGTCTTTTGCGGTTTTGTCACTCAAATACACAAAAACCGCTTTGTTTGCCCCGAAGCGAAGTGAAAGGAAAAGGAAATCCCTCCCTATCCGGGTGCCGCTTCTATTGTATCTCTGGGTGTGAAAAGATTTTCAGTTGATTTGACTCGATAAATGTATCTTCCTCCTTGTTCATCCTTGATTATAAGGCTTTCTCACTCAATGCCCTTGTACACGCGAGCCTTGTTATCCCTTCGAAAAGTTCACTCACCTGCAAAAAATTAAAAGGCAAAACGGAGACAGGGTTAGCCAAAAGAGTTATGTTTGCTAATTAAAAGATTACAAAAGAGTAAACATTTTGGGCATAACCCTTTTCAAAATTACCAACTAGCTCTGACATCTAATTAAGCGAAAAAACCAGCTAAAAAATCAACCACAATCGACCCCTAAATGAGAGCGAAAAAACACAAGCAACATCTCTATTAAAAATATGGCCCAACCGAATGATTTATAACATTTTTTTCCAGTCAGTGAGAAGGCAGAAAAATATATAATGGTAGAACGGGGCAAGGACATTAGCCTGGTCACCTTTTTGTTGTTCCTTTAAAAAAATACATTTTTTGTTTGTACAGAATAAGCGGGCGCCTTTGGCATGTTATGAAAAATGATGAGTAGGCAATTGGTTAGGTGGCTGGCAGGAGTATTTATATAGGATACGGCTGCCAGATGATGATGAGTCGTCTGTATTATGTTGCAGAAGAGATGGGGAACAGATGGGCAAACGGTATTTGGTAGTGCGTGGGAAAGTTATATGAAAGAGTTCCAAGGAATTATTGAGGCAGGGAAAACCAATTTGGTAAAATTTTAAATGCCTTTAGAATATAACATTTTATTTTACTTTTAATTCAATAAAAGTGTTTCCTGGCCGTTGGAAATTTCAAATCGTAATCCCTAATGCAGTTAGGTAAGTAAACGTGACGCTTTCTTGCAAAGTTCTTTAATGTGCATTCATTTTTCTGCGATGTACTGCCTATGGGAAGGCTGCAGTCGCGCTGCATTCACTCTCAGCTTTTCGTTTTTATACTGCTAAAGTAATTGACCCTTTTTCAGAATTTCCAACCATAACTGCTGAACTTATTTTCAGCAACCAAAGCAAACACAATGCTGTTCATTTGAATAGATATCAATTATGGGAATGCATAATTTCTGATCAAAGGAAACCCCTTTAAATTACTAACAATTAATCAAAACAAAAAAAGAAGCCTAATTCAGTTATCAAAATATATACCACAACAACAAAAAAGTGACAAACACTCGAGTAACTTTCACCGCTGTCATACGAACAGCTGCCTGGCAACCCACAAAATATCATGATTAATCAGCAACAAAAACAAATGAGATGAGGAAAATGAAGAAAAGCCACAAGCGGGCTCTATAGCAGGAAAAGCGAATGAAAGAACAAACAATGTTGCAGTTATGGCTCAATAAGCCAACAAAAGGCGAGCCTCTTTTAGACCCGACTTCGACCTCGTGCCTCGAGCCGATGATAAAGCATTTTTTCAGCTTCTTTTCGAACGAAAAGCCGCAAACAACAACAAGAATGGACTTGCATGATAAAGAGCAAACAAAAAAAAAAAAATATAATGCTAACCACAATGAAAATTGAAAAACATTTATTAGATGATGGGTCACAGGGGGGAAGGTGGTATGCGAGTGGAATGGGTTGCACACGCACATGCTAATACAAATGAGCACAGAATGCTGCAATACCCTTTTTACAGAAACAAATATTTTCTTTTTCTTTGATTTAGTGATTAAATCTAGATATGTATTTATAATTTAAATATATAATTATTTTGTTCAGAAATAATAACGGTCTAAGGAATTCTATCTTATATAGCTAACTAATCTTCCCGAAGCCATGATACCCTCTGCTGGGGTACAATGAGGCGTCTGAGCCAGGTCTAAACCCAGGCCGCCTCGATTACATAAGTCTGAGGGTTAAGTCAGCGGCAGGAGTGGTTACAGGGGCAGAGGAACAGACGGCTGAGGCTACTGGCCGGGGGTATTATTTATGAGGGTTAATAATCGAATCGAACGATGGTTCAGACAAGATAAAGTCCACGGGACTCTCGTACTCGTCCCTCTCATGCTTTCCAACTCCAACTGCCATCCCCCCCGCTCTGTCGCTCATCCGCCAGCGTTGTGTG